TCATTATCTAACAAATAAGAGATCATGAGTTAGATAATGTAAATGTTCCAAAATTCCTACACTTTGAAGTTTTGTTTCTAAAATTACCATTTTTTCCAAAAGTTCCAAAAAATACCACTATTTGGTAAATGTTCTAAAAATATTAAAAAACTAAAATTAACTTTTATCATTCAAAACTAAATCTTAAACTCTAAACCCAAACATTACCCCTAAAACTATACCCTAATTATACAATACTTAACCCAAACCCAAAAATTTAAATTATAAACCCTTGAAAATCAATTTTTTTGTTTGTGGTATTTTTGGAATATTAAATAAATGATGGTATTTTTGGAACTTTTGAAAAAATGTGGTATTTTTGAAAACAAAACTTCAAAGTGTGGTAATCTAGAGAATTCTTCTTTTCTTATTTTAGACAGCCAAAAATCGTGCGTTGTCTGACCCAAATTTTAGTAGCACATATGGAATGCAAGAAATCTAAAATTGTTTAATGAGATAGAGGTGTCTCCGGATGACACTTTATAACTAACCTTCATTGAAGCAGAACCGTGGAGGAGTGTGAATTAAAAGGATAGCCAGGAAGACGACAGAGAGTTACAATACAAGTTTCCTATAGATGAGGCCACACTTGTACCTCCTAATCGAACTTGCCAAATCGACTCCTCATGGACCGTCAAAAGGTCGATATGTGAATTAAGGTAGTGTCTTGCGGATAATGAAAGACTATCTCTCCTTAGACCCAAAGGCTATAGATGGAGTTTAATTTTCTTGTCTTCGTGCTGAGTTGAAGATGATTCTTTGAGAAATGACTTGTCTAATTGAGAAGCAAACTTCGTCAATAAACTTTGAGACGAATTGCTTCGAATTAGTAAAAATGATCGAAAATTAAACGGATTGGCCTTCTTTCCTATCAAAATAAGATGATTTTAGTGTTCTGGGAATAGTTTTAATGAGTTGATATCCATTATATTTCATGTATTTCCGGCTACCTTTCAAAAGCGAGTACAAAGTTTTTTGTTTCACATGTAAATCATTTTAGTACCGCATTGGTTGTCTCCCGATACAAATCTCTTTCCGTCGAACTAAGTTAATATGTGGAGTTTTTAGCTGTCAAACGAAAGAGGGTACTTCTCTACATCATAAACCAAAGTTTTAGGTCGCAACGTATAGGCGTCAACGATTCATTTGTCTTCTTTGATTACAAACGCATGTGATGTGAACCATAATGACAATAGGGAATATGAGTGGCCACTCTACGATTTGACATTTCGTGCCTAATGTTTCATTATCTTGAGTCCTTGTCAAAATTTGTATTTTAGTCTTTTCATTTCGAAATCTATAGTGGGTTAAATTAGATGATGATATCATAAGAATATTAGTGGAAAGTGGAAACTACTAAATTACCAGCCTTTGTCAATTTAGTATGTTTTACTTGATTTTTTCTTTAAACAACATAACTTTAAATCTCTTATACCATTTCCAACCGAGAAACTCTCACTAATTTCTAAGCATTAAAAATTTTAAATAAATTAGTACAACGATCCTCTAGGAAGAAATTGCAGAGTTTTTTTGAGAAACCATTCTTCCAAATGTCTTATGTTGATTGGTTCAGTTTTTTAAATTAATTATTTTCTTTAATTATATTCAAAAGTATTAATACAATATTGATAAGAAACTTTCGTAAAAGCTTCTACGTTAAAGATGCTCTTAGAATTTTTGTATACAGAATTCAAATCAGTCAAACTCGGGTTTTCAATGTGTAACTTTTTTTCTTGACGTTACAGAATATGTAAATATGAACATAGCTTAACCTTAGGCACTTTCATTATTCAAATAAAACTCAAGGTCAAGGATATCATTATATCTGAGATATTTCATACACATGTGATCAACTGAATTGGAGTGCGCAGGTTTCGAAACCCAGTCTTATTAACTAGGCAGAATCAGAATATGGAATGTACACCAAGTCACTCGTAACATGTGAAGTAATCGCATTATCTTGTTTGGCAGAAAAGAACTAATTTACTTAAAAGGCGGTTCCTCTAATGTCTTTTTTGTGTTAGACTCAAATAAGAAAGTGAGATGTTTTATGTGACAGCTACCAAAAACTTTAGGCATGACAAGCATTCAATTCATTTATGAATCTACGAATATTAATTACTTTTGTAATCTATAACTAATATTTTGAGGTCTCTCACAATCTTCTATATATTCTAAGGATTTGCATATCCCTATTCCCTCTCACACACAAAGAAGATGGAGAATATGACGTTATGTGAAGCAAACAACTTTCCTCTAACGCCCATAACATTCTTGAAGAGAGCTTCAGAGTGTTATCCGAATCGAACTTCTATCATTTATGGAGAAACCCGTTTCACTTGGCCTGAGACATATGATCGTTGTTGTCGTCTAGCAGCGTCTCTCCTTTCTCTTAACATCAAAAGAAACGACGTCGTAAGACTTTGTCCTTTACTTTCTATTTCCTATGCCAGACTAATCAATAAAGAATAAGACCGTAGTTTTTTTTTGTTTTAACCTCGAGATTCGGGTCTAGACCGTAATCTTGGTGAGCCCGAAATCAATTTTTAGTCTATTTTCTTTTGAAATATTCTTCATCCCAATAGAGTCGGATCTGAACAGATTTTTATGAAACATTTGAATGGGGCCCCATTTTTAAGGAGCCCCACTTATTAAATTTTTTTTTCATTTAAAATATGTTATTTGATGAAAAAATGAAGAATTAGTGGAATAACATACATGTTTTTTTTGTGGGATCAAATATTTTATAAATTTTTATGATTAAAAGATAAAATTGTTAAGTAGATTTTTTCATAATTTTATTTCCACAAACATGAATGTATTATTATTAAAAACCAGATTTTTAGAAAAAAAATATGTAAATAAAATGTTAGTAGTGTTTTTGTATCGGGCCCCGACAATCTCAGATCTGGCTCTGCCTCCCAAAAGAGATTGAACTAATGACATATTTTTCTTTTTTTTAACCTAACTAAGGGCATATTTATAGAGCCAACTCCAAGTGGTAAACCACACCCTTGGTACCATAAGTTTTTCCTTTTTAATTCTTGTTGATTTATGTATTTTTACACAGTGCTAATAGGTTTAAGTACGTTTAAGAAAACGTTACTAAGTTTAGGCACTTTGGAAAAAATGATTTTATCCACCAATTATTTTGGACATCACTAAACATATTATATCAAATGATTTGCTTATGACTTACATGTACAAAATGTACTAATATAATTCGTGTAGTAGAGAAAAATTAATTATTAAGTCAAAATAGACTTTAAATACGTACGAAAATTTCATGTGTTAGGTTTAGATGGCAAGTTTGGTAGGCTTAAACATTTATTGACAATTTTGATGGACATTTACTAGAAAACACCTAATACCACTTTGTAAAAATTACACATCCTTTTAAAATAGGGGCAATTACAAAAATGTTACTTTTTGTGTGCATATTTACAACAATGCCACTTAGGGGTGTCCATTTACAAAAATACCACTAATTATATATTTATAAAGCCTATATCTTAAAATTCTAAACCCTAAAAAATGTTTTGACACCTAAAATCCCCTAAACACTCAAAACTAAACCCTAATAGAACATAATTAACCCAAACATAAATAATATAAAGAAAAAAATAATTTTGAAAAAGTAGCATTTTTGTAAAGATTTCAAAAGTTTAGCATTTTTGTAAAGTGGCATCTTTTGAAATTTTTCTTTAAAATATAGGGTGAAATGATTAAAAAAAAATCCATCATTAAATCATTAAATGCCTTTCCGCGTCACCCATTCCGACAATATATGATGGCATAATCAGCATATGAACCACATGCATGATTTGTTATTTTCTTTAGGTCGATGGCCATTTTGACCGAACTTATTCACTCATCTCTATCTAACGTATGTTATAAATCTGTGTTTAGGTCTCGGTTTTGGCGCCTAACGTACCTGCCATGTACGAGATGCATTTCGGTGTTCCCATGACCGGAGCCGTACTTAACCCTATTAACACCCGTCTCGACGCCAAAACCATATCCATCATCCTCCGCCACGCCCAGCCCAAGATCTTATTCGTAGACCATGAGTTCGTTCCTTTGACCCGAGAAGTCCTCCGTCTCCTACCATTTGATGATTCACAACCTCACCCGCTGGTCATATTTATTGATGAGATTGATTCCACTAGAAAGGCTTCCTCCAAAGAGTTAGACTACGAGGGTCTCATCAGTAGAGGAGATCCTTCTCTCTCCACGGCCGCAAGTATGTTTGATGTCCTCATCGAGCATGACCCTATCTCTTTGAACTACACGTCTGGCACCACGGCGGACCCAAAAGGTGTGGTGATTAGCCACAGAGGAGCCTACTTGGCCACCTTGAGCGCGATTATGGGTTGGGAAATGGGGATTTTCCCAATCTACCTCTGGACCCTGCCTATGTTTCATGCCAATGGGTGGACACACACGTGGTCCGTGGCTACGCGTGGGGGCACCAACGTCTGCATCAGGCACGTGACTGCCCTAGAGATCTATAAAAACATAGATTTGCATGGCGTGACGCACATGTCATGTGTTCCTACCGTATTTAGAATTCTCCTCGAAGGAGGTCGAACCAACCAATCACATAGGCCCCAGCCTGTTAAAGTGCTGACCGGAGGTTCATCCCCACCCGCTGCACTTCTTGAGAAGGTGCAACAGCTGGGGTTCCAGGTGATGCATGGCTACGGGCTTACGGAAGCCACCGGTCCTGTTCTGTTTTGTGAGTGGCAGGAGAAGTGGAACCGGTAATCCCTATTCTAAGTTTACATGTTGATAATTATAAAGATTCATATGATAATCTTATTATAAATTCTAAACAGACTACCAGAGCATCAACAGATGCAGCTGAAAGCAAGGCAAGGGGTAAGGAACATAATCCTAGCTGATGTTGACGTGAAGGACACGAAAACTTATAAGAGTGTATCACGCGACGGGAAGACCACTGGAGAGATCGTTGTTAAAGGAAACAGTGTAATGAAAGGGTATCTAAAGAATCCCAAAGCAACATCTGAAGCGTTTAAACACGGGTGGCTCAACACGGGAGATATAGGTGTGATTCATCCCGACGGGCACATAGAGATCAAAGATCGATCTAAAGATATCATCATCTCGGGAGGTGAGAACATCAGCAGTATTGAGGTCGAGAAAGTTCTTTACGAGCACCCGAAAGTGATGGAGGTTGCGGTCGTAGCCATGCCTCACCCTCTATGGGGTGAAACTCCGTGTGCGTTTGTTATTCTTAAAAAGGGTGAGACTAATCAAGGGGATCGTGGAGAAGGAGATTTGATTCAGTATTGCCGTGAGAATATGCCACGTTTTATGTGTCCGAGGAAGGTGGTGTTCTTTCAAGAGCTGCCAAAGAACAGCAACGGAAAGATCCTAAAGTCTAAGCTGAGAGACATCGCTAAAGCTTTGGTAGTCGATGGGGACGATGTCGGTTCCAAGAAAATTGACCGAGGCAATGTTGATCGCATTAGTTCCAGGCTTTAAGTTATTTTTATCGATGAATTTCTATATATTTGTGTTTGCATTGATATTTTCTCTGTTTGCGTGTGTGGATTGTTGAATATACGCTGAATGAAAGGAAGTATTATTAAACTCTTTATAGGTCAACAAAACAAAAATTGTTAATGACAGAAATAAAAGTTGAGCTTAAATGATAAGATATTTCTATTTATATCAATTATTTTAATAGCTTTCCAAATTTTTTTTAATTTTCTTGAATTTTTCATTGCATTAAATAAATTTTTTTTTGGTTTTTTGGTTTTTCTGAACTAAACAAGAAAGCCAAACCAACAATCTCGTAGTGACCTTGGTTAGATACTCTTGCCAAAATAAGCTAATGGGCCTAAGTCACAACAACTACCCCTGGGCATTTTAACGAA